ACACACACACACACACACACACACACACACACACACACACACACACACACAAAAAGCTATAACTTTGCTGAACCAACAATCCAATCTATTTTTTTCCGCGCATTTTGAAAATGTTCCACAAAATATATTATTTTAACAATATTAATAATTTCATAAAATTATTTTCAGATCTGTATATATCTAGCTAAATTTTTAGATACTTCAGCAAAACCGTTTTTTTCGTGCGGAGTTTCACGTGGAAGATAAGTCTGAGTGCGTCCATCAAAAAACTGTTATAAAGTACGAATTCCCAGTTTAAATTTGCGATTAAAGGATGTGCTTATGTATTCCGCGAGTAGAATCTCTCTCAGTCTTACAAGCTTTAATCTCTTCTTTCTCATTTTTCATGAACATCAGGCACGCTTTATGCTGTATTTGCCGGCGCCTCCGGTCAACCTCCATGACACTTCCGGGTGTGTTTTTCTTCATTCGTGTCATCCGCGCAAATAGAATAGCATATGTATGATGCGTACACACGGTAGAACGCGATGTGCGAAACAGTGGCGGATCTCGCATATTTCAGGGCACACGAATTTTGCACACGAATGACAACTACGAGTCGTTAAAACGAAAACACTTGTAAAAAAAAACATTGCAAACTATACTTTGTATACAATAAATATACATAACAATAAAAATATAAGAATAAATATACTAGAAATAAAAATATTTACATCATAAATACGTACGTATAAAAAAATATATCGTTATATTTAGATTAAATATCATAGAAAAAACGAATTTACTGGAATATTTAAAAGTTTAAATACAGATCTGAAAATAATTTCGTTGTACCATCTAAATAATTATAGGAAACTCAAGTATTGTGAGTAATATTGCAAAAAGTTTTGACAGTTTAATAACTAGCTTGAATGTTCTATGTAATTATTTTAATAATTCGGACAATTGTAATATGAAATTGGACCAATGAGAATAAATCTAATTAAATAGAGAACTCCTATTTCGATAAAAGCGGATCTTAGTGCTTAAATATTTCAAATATTTAATATTCCATCGAAAATTTCTCTACTTGATTAAATTTAACAGTCAAAATTATTTCCAGATCTAGTTAAATTTTTAGTTACTTTAGCAAAATCGTTCTGCCCGTCTCGCGATATATGTTTATTAATTTTATTTTGTACAAAGAGTTTTCCGACTACTGCTGTCTCCATTTATATTTTACAATTTTGTCATTCACATCATATAACGGCATTCTTAAATAGTCTTGATAATTAAAACTCGATGCGCTCTTTATTATTCATCTGTCTCGTAGTTCCGGTCCCACGTCTGCTAAATCCACCATTGCATTGGCGCAAAGTGGTCGCCAGTCCCAGTGGGGAAAGGCTTTCAACCCCATCCACTTGCACGATGCGATGCAATGCACCTCGGCTACCCTCTTTTTCAGTATTTCAACCCCTCTCGAAGAAACCCTCGCGAGAGGATAATGGCGATCGTCATTTAGTCACTCCGTCCGCGGCGTGAAGGATTTGCATGAAAATTACCGTTACGCGAAGTTCCTTTCTCCCTGCAGATGCAACTTCGTGCCGCAATAAAAAGAAAAGAAAGAAAGAAAGAAAAAAAAAGAGATACCTTCAGCGTCAGTTGCGACGCGACATTCTGGGAAATTATTCATGAACTTCAATTTTAACGCGTGAGACGATTATTCTTTCAGATACCCACGAGCGACTTCGAAATTGTTTTTTAACGCAGGGCAAAGCAACGCGTTGCATGATGATATCCAGAACCTTCGTAATTTCTAGGTTACAATATTTAGTAGCATAAAATACGATCAAAGTGTAAAGTTTTTTTTATTTGAATTTGTGTGTACCAATCGTAATTTGTATCATCGTGATGCGGTAAAGACAAATCCCTGTTGCACCGATCGTACTTTGAAACTCCGAGGTAACAAAGATTTCTACGTTATCGACGATTGATAAAGACGGTAACAAAGCGTGCGCGAGTCACGCATGCGTACTGACCGGCATAACTCGACTCGGCGGCTCGGCGCGATGCCGCGCGATGCGGCGGCGCCGACGGCGCCGTCAGTTAGAAACATTTCGCCGAACTGCGTCGAACGGAATAGTTGATTGTGATGACGAGAATATTGGCGGCACGTATGTGTTTTGTCTGACTGGTGTTTGTGTGATGCAAAAGTCCTAAACACTTTGCGCGCGCGCAAAAGAGAAAGAAAGAGAGAAAAGATCCGCGTGATGCCTCGCGACGATGGTTTGATGGTTCTGTGACACGGCGAGTTCTTCAGCGAGTCGACGACCACGAGCGCCCATCATGGCGGCCGCGGAACATCAGACGAACGATAGCAAAGAAAACTTTCCATATTTCACAGACTTTCCCGAACGGATACGATGCGGGTGGTTCAGATCCAACGATCCGGACACGGTTCTCACGTGCGAACCGCTGCCCAACGTAGATGTCTATTTGTATGGTAGTGCTAATTGCAGGATCGTTGGTAAGAAAGGCAACTACGAGTGGACTTTTTTGATCTTTACGAAAGGTAAGTGAGACAAGGCTTTTTCGTTATTCTGCAGGAAAGCAAAAAGTTGTATATAAGATTCGACGATATCGATACCGGCATATCCCGTCAATAAATCATGAGTGTTGTCGATGAACCTTACATCCAAACGCCACGTCATTTTGCCGGCAAAAGATTTGTAAACACAAAAAAAACAAGTTTTTAAGTTGACGTTTATAATGTAATAAGGTTACCACAAATTCCTCATTCTAAAATTCCATAACTTTCCTGATTTCCAAAGAAAATTTCATGATTTTTCCCTGATGTATTCAATGTTTTGAAACTTCTAGTTTCATTCTGATTTGAAAACTGATTATATATATATATATATA